TTGAACCCGGGAAGCAGAGGTTGCAGTGAGCAGAGATTGCACCACTGCACTGCAGCCTGGGCAACAAGAGCGAAACTCTATCTCAAAATATATATATATATATTCAGGAGCTGGGCGCAGTGGTTCACACCTGTAATCCCAGCACTTTGGAAAGCCAAGGCGGGCAGATCACTTGAGGTCAGGAGTTCAAGACCAGCCTGGCCAACATGGTGAAACCCCATCCCACTAAAAATACAAAAATTAGTCAGGCATGGTGGTGTGTGCCTGTAATCCCAGCTACTTGGGAGGCTGAGGCAGGAGAATCACTTGAACCCAGGAGGCGGAGGCTGCAGTGGGTCGAGATCACGCCACTACACTCCAGCCTGGGTGACAGAGCAAGACTCTGTCTCAAAAAAAAAAAAAAAAATCAGAGAAAAAAAAGTAACAATACAGCAATAAAAAATAATACCTAGGGGACAGGCACAGTGGCTTACACCTGTAATCCCAACACTTTGGGAGGCTAAGGCAGGAGGATCATGAGGTCAGGAGTGCGAGACCAGCCTAACTAACAGTGAAACCCCATCTCTACTAAAAAGACAAAAATTAGCCAGGCACGGTGTCGCATGCTTGTAATCCCAGCTACTCAGGAGGCTGAGGCAGGAGAATCACTTGAACTTGGGAGGCAGAGGTTGTAGTGAGCCAAATCAAGCCACTGCTCTCCACCCTGGGCAAAGAGAGAAATTCCATCTCAAAAGAAAAGAAAAGAAAAGAAAAATTACAGGCTGGGCGCGGTGGCTCATGCCTGTAATCCCAGCACTTTGGGAGGCCAAGGTGGTGGATCATGAGGTCAGGAGTTCAAGACCAGCCTGGCCAAGACGGTGAAATCTGTCTCTACTAAAAATACAAAAATTAGCCGGGTGTGGTGGTGGGCACCTATAATCCCAGCTACTGGGGAGGCTGAGGCAGAGAATTGCTTGAACCCGGAAGGCAGAGGTTGCAGTGAGCTGAGATCACACCACTGCACTCCACCCCGGGCTACAAAGCAAGACTCTGTCTCAAAAAAAAAGAAATTAAAACAGTACAGCTACCTGGCACGTACACTGTATTAGGTATGATATAGCGTATATGTGAGGGTGGGCATAGGTTACACTCAAATACAACGTCATTTCTATCACGGAAATAGAAGCTGCCAAATTTGGTATCCATGGGGTCCTGTAACCGATCCCCGTGGATACCCAGGAACTGATACCTATTAAGTTATTTAACTGCTTCCTTGGTTGTGGCCTGTTGGCTTGTTTTTGGTTTTGTTTTTTGAGACAGGTTCTCACTCTGTCGCCCAGGCTAGAGTGCAGAGGCACGATCTCCGCTCACCACCACATCTGCCTCCCAGGTTCAAGCAATTCTCCTGCCTCAGCCAACCGACCCAGGAGCTGGGACAACAGGTGCACACCACCACACATGGCTAATTTTTGAATTTTTTGTAGAGGTGAGGTTTTGTCACGTTGCCCAGAATGGTCTCAAACTCCTGGGCTCCACTGATCTGCTTCTCGGGCTTCCAGCACCGTGAAGCTGGGCCTTCTGGCGTCATGGAGCTGGGCCTCGCCATCCCGTTCGGATGCACCCGGATATGCGCCCCTGCAGCAGCTCACTGAACAGCAACATGTTCCCGGAACTTTTCTCCTTTTGAAATCACTTTGAAGAGCTCGCTCTCGCTCCCACTAACGACCACAAACTGTTCCAGTGAAAAACTTTCTCCAAATGAGACTAATCAAAAGCTTATGACCAAAAAAAAACTGTATGCCAAACACAGACACACGCTATCTGTCTTCCAAATCTTACTGCATCTTGTTTTTTTCTTTTTTTGAGAAGGAGTTTTGCTCTTGTCGCCCAGGCTGGAGTGCAGTGGCACAATCTCAGCTCACTGCAACCTCCGCCACCCAGGTTCAAGCGATTCTCCTGCCTCAGCCTCCCAAGTAGCTGGGATTACAGGCATGTGACACCACACCCAACTAAATTTTTGTATTTTTAGAAGAGACGGAGTTTCACCATGTTGGCCAGGCTGGTCTCGAACTCTGAACCTCAGGTGATCTGCCTGCCTCAGCCTCCCAAAGTGCTGGGATTACAGGTGTGAGCCACCGTGCCCAGCCAAATCTTACTGCATCTTAACCACTCTGCCATTCATGAGCCACCGAAAACCTTCACACTGAACTGCACAAAAACACACAGCTGGCTGGGCCAGCAGGAAGTGACCAAGGGGGTTCTTGCATAGACAAAAGTGTCCTCAGGACGCGCTATGCATTCAGCCAGCCAATCCCCCAAAGCTGGGAGACCCACGTGCACCTCACTGATTGCTGGACAAGGCCAGGCCTGCAAGCCAGAGGGCAGGGACCCCCTCCAGCTGTGAGAGCCCAGCGTCTTCCCTGGAGAAGGCCTATGGACAGGAAAGAGTGTGGCGTACCCGACACCCCAAGGGTTAGGCCCACAACGTCTTCCAACAGGGATCTTCGGCTTTTTTTTCCCTTGAGATGGAATCTTGCTCTGTTGTCCAGGCTGGGGTGCAGTGGCGCGATCTCAGCTCACTGCAACCTCCCGGGTTCAAGTGATTTTCCTGCCTCAGCCTTCCAAGTACCTGGGATTATAAGCGTGCACCATCACGCCCAGCTAATTTTTGTATTTTTAGTAGAGACAGGGTTCACCATGTTGGTCAGGCTGGTCTCGAACTCCTGACCTCGTGATCCCCACCCCCCACCCCTGCCTTGGCCTCCCAAAGTACTGGGATTACCGCACCTGGCCTTTCTGCTTTTTAAATGCTCTGGCCTCGCTTCCTGTAGCTGCCATAACAAATGACCAACTTAGGGGCTGAAAACAACAGAAATCCCCAATCAGTTACCACTGGGCCAAATCAAGGTGTCGGCCAGGTTGTGCTTCCACAAGAGCCTTTGGGGGAAACTCCGTTTTTTGCTTCTTCCAGCTTCTGGTGGGCCTGGCCTTCCTGGGCTTGTGTCTTAGTCACTCCAGCCTCTGCCTCCATGGTCGCAAGAGACACTCCTGTGTGTCAACGTCCCTGTGCCGCCCCATTGTTAACACGACGCGCACAATGGCATTTAGGCCCCACCTGGATAACTCAGGACCATCTCCCCAGCTCAAGCTCCTTGACTTCATCACATTTGCAAAGAGCCTTGTGTTTGCGCCATGTAAGAGACTTTAGGCCGGCTGCAGTCGCTCACGCCTGTAGTCCCAGCACTTTGGGAAGCCAAGGCAGGCCGATCACCTGAGGTCAGGAATTTGAGACCAGCCTGGCCAACATGGCCAAACCCCATCTCTACTAAAAATAGCAAAATTAGCTGGGCATGGTGGTGCGTGCCTGTAATCCCAGCTACTAGGGAGGCTGAGGCAGGGGGATTACTTGAACCTGGGAGGTGGAGGTTGCAGTAGGCCAAGATCCTGCCACTGCACTCCGGCCTGGGCAACAGAGCGAGACTCAGTCTCAAAAAAAAAAAGAAAAAGAAAAAGAGAACCTCACAGGATGTGAACATCTTTACAGGTCATTTTTCAGCCTCCAAGCACCCTTTTCACCCTTCACCACCTCATATCTACGGCATGCTGGATACGCCTGGGTGTCTGCAGGCAAGGCAGTGGCAGGGAACGACCAGGAGGCCGAGCATGGCAGCTGTAGCCCTGGCTACAGGGGCCCATGCCAGGAGGTGGGGGCCAGCAGGGGACGGTGTGGCTGAGTATAGGTGCTCCCCAGCCCAGCCGAGGCTTCTCAGGAGGAAGGGGTGTCCGGGAGGCCCGTGTTTGGCTACACCAAGCTGGCCATTCTCAGTCCCACTCTGGTCCTCCCCTCGAAGCCCCTCCTCTGTGGGCCGGTGGCGCATCCATCCCCGAAGCGTGTCCAGTGTGTATTCTTTGGAATGCACTGTCTTTGACATGAGCAGGCCGGCCCCCACCCACTTCTCTCGCCAGATGGAGAAAAATCTCAAGCTATAAACTAAATGAAAAACACGTCCTGTTCTGCCCTGGGATCAAGGGGTCACCTTAAATGAAAGCTGCCTGGAGCAATGTGCTGCTGACGCTGATCTTGCCTTACTCTGCAGATTGGCCTCAGGGGTGCACAGGGCGCTCAGGTCTCTGCATCAGCAACCCCAGCCCGCCCCGCTGAGCCCGGGACCACCAGCGCCCCCAGCAGGATCCACGGGAAGCAGCCCCAGAAGCACCACAGAGACAGCCTTGGGAGAGCAGACCAGGAACCCCAAGAGCTTTACCCCACAGCCTGGGGGGTGCGGGGAGCATCTCAGAAAGCCTGCAGAAAGAGCTGACGGCCCTCCCCTCCCACACTTTCCTCAGAGGGCCCAAAGCCCACTTCCCACGCAGTCCACCCCCCCCTCGGTGCCGGTGCTCGGGCACCCAGACATCCCCTGGCACCCGTCATGCGCTGGTGCCACGCTAACTGCTTGTTTTCAGCTCATGTCACCTTGTTCCTGCTACCCAGCTCGCCTGGGTCTGAGGTGTGTGGGCCGTTTTGCAGGAAGTCTCATGTGAGAAAAATAATCATGTTTATGGAACACACAAGGGGTGGGGGATTCACAAGCAGATGGCTTTACTGTGTGACATGGCAGAGAGGGAAGGGAGACCCTACTTCCTGGGCAGCCCACTTCATGAATGAGAAGGCCACTTCATGAATGAGAAGGCCACCAGACTGCTGGGCACGTGTGACCAATGTCAGCCCCACAGTGGGGCAGCATTCACCTGCAGGCTCTCGTGACACTGGGAGGGCCGCCCCTGCAGTCCTGGACCATCCTCACACCAGCCTGGGGAGCCCAATGGTTGCTGGACCCCCAAGGCGAGAGGGCAGGAAGCACCTAGTACTCCACACCAGCCAGCGACCGACACGGGAGGGAAGGGCAGAGCTGTCTCTCTGTCTGTCTGGCCAGCCAGCAGCAGCAGCCACGATCCCCGGCGTGGGGCTCGCCTAGCAGTGATACTCCCAGCTAGACAGCGTCAGGCACAACAGCGCTTACCACATTCCAGTAGAGCGGATTGAAGGTGATGGTGAGTGCAGCAGCCACAAAGCTGGGATCCAGGGGGTCCACGTGGCCCAGCAGCCAGGTCATAACGCAGAAGTCTGCCTGCAGGGACAGAGCCAGCGTCAGCACCGCCCAGACACAACAGGGCCTGTGAGCCCCCAGGAGTTGAGACAAAGTTACCCTCTGGGAACACGCCAGGAGGCCTGGGAACGTCCAAGTCCAGCAAAGGTTGCAACAGTGCAGTCTCAGAAAAAGTAAAGGGCTGAGACCTAATCAGCTGTGTCACGCCCCGTCAGGAGGGCGGCTGCAGAAGTTGGCCTGGACGCCGGATGAGGAAATCAGCACCTCTGAAGATGGGTGCCCGGCACCCCAAAGGGAAGTCACACCAACCCTGGTGTGACCGAGACCCCCCGGGATGAGGGTTCTCAGGGGCCCCAGAGAAAACCCAAGCAGTTGAAATAAAGATAAAGAAATGCTCGACCTCACTAGAAATCAGGTAAAAGCAAATTAAAAAAATAATGGTGTAATGGTGTGCCTCTGCTCACCCACACCCACCTTTTTTTTTTTTTTTTTTTTGGGACAGAGTCTCTCTCTGTCCCCAGGGTGGAGTGCAGAGGCGCGATCTCAGGTCACTGCCGCAGTAAATTCCTTCAAAGAGTGCTTTGATCTCCCACGTTCTGGGGAAGAGGTGGGGAGGAGATGGTCTCCTGCCCAGGATCAGCCATCCCAGGCAGGGGGCGAGCCCAGCCTCCACTCCAGTCCTTGCTTCCCCAAACGCCACCCTCCTGACATAACTCTGCCTGCAGGGTGTGACCATGGGATGTCACTGAGCACCTTAGACATCTGTCAGTGTAAAGCCATCTTCCACTATGGCTTGGCATCATTTCCACGTGTGGCCTCCCCGCCTGATCCACCTGCATGCCTGAAGTGGAAACTTCATCTCACTACAGGGCCAAGGGCAGAGCTAAGCAGATATTAAACGCTCTAGGCCAGGTGCAGTGGCTCACGCCTGTAAACCTACTTTAGGAGGCCAAGGTGGGTGGATCACCTGAGGTCAGGAGTTCAAGACCAGCCTGGCCAACATAGCAAAACCCTGTCTCTACTAAAAACACAAAAATTAGCCAGGTGTGGAGGCGGACACCTGTGATCCCAGCTACTCAGGAGGCTGAGGCAGGAGAATCACTTGACCCGGGGAGGTGGAGGCTGCGGTGAGCTGAGATCACACCGCTGTATGCCACTGGGCGACAGAGCAACATTTTGTCTCAAAACAAACAAACAAAATGTTACAATGCAGGCGCCTCCTGAGGGATGAACGAGCCAACTGTAGGACCAACGGAGCACTGCTACTGGATCTGTGGACGAAATGCTGAGTGGGAGAGTGGCGTGGCAGCAGGCGTGGGCATCAGTAAGCAAATAACTAAGAAAAGCCACTCCGCAGGCCGGGGGCAGTGCTTCATGCCTGTAATCCCAGCACTTTGGGAGGCCAAGACGGTGCGGGGTCGGGGGGAGGGATGATCACCTGAGGTCGGGAGTTCGAGACCAGCCTGACCAACATGGAGAGAAACCCCGTCTCTACTAAAACTACAAAATTAGCCAAGCATGGTGGTGCATGCCTATAATCCCAGCTACTCGGGAGGCTGAGGTAGGAGAATCGCTTGAACCCAGGAGGCGGAGGTTTTTTGGTGAGCCAAGATCGCATCATTACATTCCAGCCTGAGCAACAAGAGCAAAACTGTCTCAAAAAAAAAAAAAAAGAAAAGAAAAAAAAGCATCACTTGCCTAGATGCAGCCACGGCCCCTGGGCGCCGCGCAGTGCCTGCCCAGCGCCTGCAGCCAACAAGGCCTGGCCACTCATGAAGGCTAACTTGGCCAGGCTCACAGCAGGCTGCCCTGTCCAGAGAGAGGGGAGGGAAGGGGAGGGGAGGCCTGTGGTGCAGCCCCAAAGCTTCTAGAACCTGGGGCTTAACCTGAGGTCTGGCCTTCTCTTCAGTTTGATGATAATACCTATTAAGCACCTGATTCCAGGCCCTGTCCCTTGACAGGCCAGTGTGGGGAAGGTGGAAAGCTGGCTCAGGGAAGGGTCCTGGCTTTGGTCATGCCTGGCACTTCGAAGTGCACTGAGGGTGAGTTACCCGCATGCACACAGCAGACCATATGAGTGGGCCAGCGGCCAGTCTGCACCCATCCCTCCCCCTCCCCATTCCCCATTCAGCCCCTAGCCAAAACCTGGCCTCACCCCACCCCCCTTTGTCTCATTCCCATTACCAATCCTCCCATGTCCCACCTGTCATTCTGCCTCTTACACAATCAGCTAATCCACTCCTTCCCCAACCCTGGCTTTGCCGGTGGCTCCCCAGGACACAGCAAAGGACCTCAGTTGCCTCCTGCCTTTGGACTTCCCCCAGAGCCCTCCCCACGGACCCTTACCTACAGGCCAGCATGCTGTTAGTCAAGCCAAAGAGGAGAAAGGGCAGAGCGTGGGTCACAGAGCAGAGTCCCACTTGGCTGGGGGAAGGGGAAAGCAGGTAAGGCCGGGAGGACACTGAGCCAGGCGGGAAGGGACACAAGGGCATTTGCCGGAGCCAGGAAAAACTTCCCATATCGCTGGCACCTCTCTGACGCTACACCTAAGACAGGTGCATTTTCCTGAGTGTAAATGATCACAACTTCCCCACTGGGACCTGGGGCTGCTGCTTCCCATAAGGAATTCAATTCAATGTTAGTCACCAAATGCTGAGCTCCACTAAGGAGGACCTCACTCTAGGGAGGGCTAAGAAAACACAGGACGTGAGGCCGGGCGCAGTGGCTCCTGCCTGTAATCCCAGCACTTTGGGAGGCC